GTGATGCAAGCCTGTGGGGTCTAGACCAAAATCCATTAGCTGCAGTGACCCTTGCCTTGCCACATGCTTATTTTGAGTCCCCCGGTTCCACACATTTGCTTGATTTCTTGGTTCCCAGCTGGTGCACCTAATGTTGGAGCCTCCATCAATAACCCTCTTCCCTGCCTGCCCAGGCTCTGAACAGCTTTAAAGTAGAACGAAGAGGAAGCCTGGGTGGTGAGGACTTTGCCTTAGTGACAGAGGGAGCTGCCTTTGGGGATGTGCTTAGGTGGGCTGGCCCAAGGCTCAGGACTTGTCCCCAGAGGTAGGCCAACTCTCAGCCTGGTCATGGCTGTGCAGGCTGGCTGTGGGAAGTGTACGGGCTTGCTCCCAGCCAATCCAAGAAACTGTCAGGCCTTTTGTTCTCCATTTTTCTTCAATAGCATGTTCTTTCAGTGTGGTTTTCTTGTCACCTGCCCCCACCCCCATTTGCCCATATTCTACCATGGACAGCGGTAGGAGTGACAGCAGTAACAGGGACCCAGATTTCCTGCAACCTGACTGCCGGGCTGTGGGCCCAGGGCCATGCCTGTACTAACATGCATCCTCCTTGTGGTGAGTGTCCTGCTGTCATCCTTGAACCAGCCGGGGCATGGAGAGGCAGGGCAGGGCTTCTCGGGGAGTGGTGACCATCATCAAGTATTGTTCAAAGGGGTGGGATGTCAGCCTTCGCAGGTGAATGGGGCTCACTGGTGTGGAGCCGGTAGAGGCCTTGGACAACCAGGTCACAGCAGGTTTGGGGTTCCAGCTGGAAACGTGTGGCACAAACGTGCTTGACATGTGCCTCTCCTCCGGCTCTGGACAGAACCCTGGGACTTTGAGTTAAGGATGACTTGATTATATCACCACTGGAGCCCAGCTGTAGTTCTGCAGATAGGTTTTTGTCTTTTAAGATTATTTTAAAAAATGTTTATTTCCTCTGGCCAGTATAATTTTTCATGGGGCTTTACTCTTTGATCTGAACTGGAAAAAATGTTCCCATTTTAAGACCTCTTAAAACATGTCTTTGGATTTATTGTCTGTACAAATGGAAATTCAGATAATAGTTCTGTTCATAACTGAAGAAAAACAGGAAAAGAAAATAAATTTCTTGCTACTTGGAGTGATAAACATGGTGAAGGATATGCTGTATATCCTGGCAACAGAAATTCAAGGTCGGAAATAATTCCTTTTCTCCTGAGTCTGCCTTCAGCTTCCCTGAGGAGAGCAGCGGCTGAAATTTGCTACTAATTGTAGCCATAATTTTAGCATGCAATTAAACACATGATTTCCTTCCCAGCTGATGTCTTTTTAGCTAGTCTGACATGGATAAAACAAAAGCCCTGTAGATTTAAATGGCCACTTCAATTTGATAGGAGTTGAAGAAAAGTCACCATTGTTTGAGCACGTTTGGCTGCACGATAGGAATGTGGTTAATCTTGCCTGTGAAAATGGTGAACAGCTTGGGTGCTTCTAATGTAGTTTCTAATGCTGCTGTCCGAGCATTGAAGGGAACCAGCCGTTGGTATGCCCATTATGCTGAGACCCTCCAGGAGGTAAGGATCAGTGGAGGGAGTGATACCGGCGGGAGGAGTCCGAGATGGAACTTGTGTGGTTGTGATGGCAGGAGCAGAGGTGCATGGAGGTCACCTCATGTGGTAGTGGGTCTGGTGTCCGAGGGAGCCCAGGACCTGAGAGCAGAGCCGCTCTCCAGGGAGGGAGTCAGAGAGGCCCCAGGCTGGCCTGCCCTGGCCTAGTGTGTCTCTTTGGTGCTTTTCTTTTCCTTGGTCTCTCTCAGAGGGTCATCTGCTCTGTAAAGGATGTTTTGTGTGAAATTAGGGCTCCTTGCCCAGGGGAGTTTGGGAACTACCAAGGTAAAGAAACTAAATAGGTTTCTCTACTCAAGGACATGTTGAGAGTCTGTTACATGCTGCTGTGCTTTGTGATTCTCTGAAGGAGAGTTCAAACAAATGTGGTTTTCCAGAAGTATGTGACCGTGGCATTCTTTATTCAAGGAATACCTGGCAGGGCAGTTTGGGAAGCATGGTTCTGGTTGTATGGAGCCTCTTGAACAGGACTTTTTATAACAATGAACATTACCAAGTCTTGAACATGATTTTTTATAACAAGAGCAAATGGTGATTTTGCACACACCGTGTGTGAGCCGTTGTCCCAAGCACTTGCATGCATGGTCTCATTAAATTTTCCCCATGTTTTAGGTCCTCTTGTTAGTATCCCTGTGATACAGGCAAGAAACTGAGCCATTGGGAGGTTAAGAAGTTGTCCAAAGCCTCAGAGTTTGTGAGGACTGGGCCTGTCCTTCTCTTCCCAGCCTGGGTCCTGGTTGTCCTTCAAGTCCTGGACCCTGTGTAGCCTCATCCAAGAAGCCTTTCTGATTCCTTCCCCATCCCCAAGGAGGACTCGGACCCTTCTCTGGTCTCCAGAGCCAGAATCCCTCAAGGTCTCTGCCATACTGCGTTGTCACCACGATATGCCCAGCTGTTCCCCATACTGGACCACAGGGTTCATGAGTGCCAGGGCTGTCTGTGCCTGGGAGCTGAGTCTTTGGTCTCTAGCACCATGCCTGGCACATAGTTGCTGTGAGTGAAAAGCAGTGAGTGGTTTTCACATGTGGACTGGATCTCATATGCTCTCTTTGTTCCTTAATGGTAGGTGGCAGCAGAAGAGTTCCTGATGGTTCTGTTTCTGAGGACTCATACTATTTTAATTCTGGACCCAATTCTTGTCTTACTTTGGATTTAAATGGATAAATTTAATATAAGTAAATTTAATTGATAAATTGTCAAGACCAGTGTGTTCTCTCGAGTAAGCATCTGTATGTGTCATCAGCAGTGTTTAAGCCCGGGGCTTAACAGAGGTACTTGGATGGATGGAGTTGACATTCTCCTATTCCACAGCATCATCTCTCAAGGCATATTCTTGGCTTTCTTTATAAATGTAATTCAGCATTTGGGGATTGATCAGACATGATTGAGTGGGTTTGGGTGTTAAAACAGAAGGTTTGGAATAGGACACAGAGAGGAGCTCTTTTCTGGGGCAGCCCGTGGCCATTGTGAAATGAATCCTAGGGAGCAGAATGGTTCTCACAGTGAGGGAGCAGGACCTCCCTTCCCACCTTACCCTTTTCCTTTTATAGTTAATTTGTTTGAAAATTTTAATTATGAAACATACAGAAAATAGATACTAGTGTACTCACTACCCAGCTAGTCATGTTTGTCTGAGGTCTGTCTCTCTCAAATCCCACCATCCCCTGCCTTCTCTTCGGTATGAATGTGGTTCTTGTCCTGTGTTTGGCTTTTCTCTTTCCTGCTCATGTTTTTTACATATATATATATCTCTTCATAAACAATATAACTTGTTTTGGATATTTGAAAATATCATATAAATGAATGAATGGTATTAAATGATATGTCCTTGTTGCAAGTTACTTTTTTTTTTTAAAGATTTATTTTATTTAGAGAGAGCGTGCGCGTGTGCACACATGCAAGTGGGGGGAGGGGCAAAGGGGGGGAGAAAATCTGCAACGGACTCCCTGCTGAGCATGGATCCCAACATGGGGCTTGATCCCATGACCCTAAGATCATGACCTGAGCTGAAATCAAGGGTCAAACCCTTAACCAACTGAGCCCCCCCAGGCGCCCCAGCAAGTGACTTTTTAAATATCACATCATGTGTTTGAGATTTGCCCTGTTGACTCATGTGGCTGCCACATAGTATTCCACTGAGGAATTAAAGTAGAGTTTATGCATTCATCCCCCCAGTGAGGGACAGATTCTGTCCACTTTTTCTGTTATAAACATTGCCAGACTGAACACCCTCGAACATTCCTTTTTTTTTTTTATGTTATGTTAGTCACCATACAGTACCTCATTAGTTTTTGATGTAGTGTTCCATGGTTCATTGTTTGTGTATAACACCCAGTGCTCCATGCAGAACGTGCCCTCCTTAATACCCATCACCAGGCTCACCCATCTCCACCCCCTCCCCTCTAAAACCCTCAGTTTGTTTCTCAGAGTCCTTAGTCTCTCATGGTTTGTCTCCACCTCTGATTTCCCCCCCTTCATTTTTCCTTTCCTTCTAATGTCCTCCATGCTATTCCTTATGTTCCACAAATAAGTGAAACCGTATGATAATTGACTTTCTCTACTTGACTTATTTCACTTAGCATAATCTCCTCCAGTTCCGTCCATGTTGATGCAAAAGTTGGGTATTCATCCTTTCTGATGGCTCCATTGTATATATGGACCACATCTTCTTTATCCATTCATCTGTTGAAGGGCGTCTCGGCTCTTTCCACAGTTTGGCTATCATGGACATTGCTGCTATGAACATTGGGGTGCATGTGGCCCTTCTTTTCACTACATCTGTGTCTTTGGGGTAAATACCCAGTAGTACAATTGCTGGGTCATAGGGTAGCTCTACTTTTAACTTTTTGAGGCACCTCCACACTGTTTTCCAAAGTGGCTGTACCAACTTGCATTCCCACCAGCAGCGTAAGAGGGTTCCCCTTTCTCCACAACCTCTCCAACATTGGTTGTTTCTTGCCTTGTCAATTTTTGCCATTCTAACTGGTGTAAGGTGGTATCTCAGTGTGGTTTTGATTTTCTGTAAGAATTTCTGAGTAGACTCCCTAAGGTGGAATTCCAGAGTTGTAGAGTTTGTTCAAGCATCACAGTGCCCTCCAAAGTGGTTAAATCAATTTACCTTCTCCCCATTCTATAGTCCTGTAACCCCACATTTCCCGACCCTGGTGTTCCCAGATCTTTTCATTCTTGCCAAGTCTGTAGGGCTTACAGTGGCACCTCTACTGTTTAGTTTTGCATTTCCCTCCCTACTTATGGAATTGGCCACCTTTTCCCGTGTTTACTGGCTAGTCCTACTCTTCATGTTTCTGATTACATTGATCTAGGTGACTTTTTAGACAGAGTAACCTCTCATAACTGTTTGCGTTGCTCTTTCAGATGGCAAGTTTGGTGCCTACATGCAAGTCCACATTCAGAATGATGGACCTGTGACCATAGAATTGGAGTCCCCGGCTCCTGGCGCTGCTACCTCTGATCCAAAGCAGGTAAGCCTGGACTCTGTTGGGGTCTGTCTCCTGGCTTTTGGCTTTGATTGAGTCCCTCAAGCACTTCTCAGTCTGAGGTGGAGGAAAGACTTCCTTGTAGCAAGCTAATATCCATTTTAATACATCCCTTCCCAAGAATGCATCTGTTTACACTGCATCTCCTTGGTGCTGTGGTGGGCTGGACAGCACTTCTCCCTTACCTCCTCCTGACTTCGGATTCCAGAGAAAATGTCCTTTCCAGAGCCCAGCTCTTCCCCGCTGCGAGGTGCCTTAGCCCCCACACGCCGCTGGGTGGCAGCAGAGTAGCGGCACAGCTCCACTGAGCCCTGACCTGGCCTCTGCACGGGTTTGGAATGGTTACCAGGAGTGGGTTTTGTCCCAGGCGTGGGTACATGTGCCTCCCGAGGTGCTTTGTAAATCCTTATTTTTCTGAAGCACTGTCTGACCTGGATTTGCTGCCAGCTCTCTAAGCTTTGAGGAAAAATTTTAATTAAAATAGAGAAAGGACATCTGTGATAGTTCTTGCAACCTGTATGGTTCTTATAGATGCTTAACACTTCTTGAGGCTTTAATTAATGTGTCTACTTAATAGCCTTCGAGACACATGGGAGCAGGCAGAGGAGTGAGAACCGAAGGGACATTTCTGTTCTTCCTTCTCCCCTTACCCTCCCTCCCTTCCTAGGATGCTGTGAAGTGGAATGATGCAGTAAGTGGGGGAAGTATTAGATAAATATAAAGCTGTATGACCTGTTCCAAGTTATAATGTTTCTTTCATTGATATTTATTGAATAAAATACTTTTGAGATACTCTTTTCACAAGAATAGAGTAGGAAAAGATAGCAGCCCATAGTCTGAATCTTTATGGACAATGTCTGATATCAAAATAGTCCCCTGTCCAGCACGGGTCTGAGGACTCTGGTTGCCTCATGCATGTGCCACTGGGGAACTTCTTCTTCTTTTTTTTTTTTTTAAAGATTTTATTTATTTATTTAAGAGCGAGAAAGCGAGCATGAGCTGGGGGAGTGGCAGAGGGAGAAGCAGACTCCCTGCTGAGCAGGGAGCCCGAAGCAGGACTCGATTCCAGGACCCTGGGATCATGACCCGAGCTGAAGGCAGATGCTTAACCAACTGAGCCACCCAGGTGCCCCTCACTGGGGAACTTCTTACGAAGATGTCATTGTGACAGCCAGGGGGACAGAGTACTGTCAGCCTTACAAAATAGCTGATGTGAATTATTTTGTGCCTACTTGCTTATAAATTCACCTCTTAAATATGAAAGTCTGTGTGTATGGCTGAAGTTGATCTAAGACTTGCCATCAGTATAACCTGATACCATCCAGAGGAGGATAGCAGACTCTCTTCCTCTTTGGGTCCTTACTATTATCAACCAAGAAAAACCTAATAGTTATGAAAAAGCAGACTGGTTTAAGTCAATTCACAGCATGCAGTTGATGGTCCTCTCCAATGCAGAAAGCTAAAAGGAAACTCCTGCCACCCCACCTCCACACATTCCTTCTGTTTTCTTTTTTCCTAAATTCATGGGACTACCATTTACCTTGTCAGCCAGGCCCAAATCTAGTGTCATCCTAATTTCATCCCTGCCTCTCCCAATACAATTTCCTATGTGCTGATACTGCTCTAATGTTTCTTTTTTTTAAATGTAGTAAGTAATTTAATCTTTATCATAGGGTATGATGAGGAAATAGAGGCACCATGCTTAAGTAGTAACTTAAGGTCACATAGCTGCTAAGAGGCAGAACCAAGATGCAAACGCAGTTTTCAAAATCAGGAAGCAAAAAATTATTGCCTAAGATCTGAGGTCACTGACATTGTTTTTGAAGAGAAATCTAATAGTCTCTGAATGCTTGCCACCTCCCAGCCTTTTTTGGAGAAAAATGCCTGTGGCTCCTGTGCTTTGGGGGCCATGGTTTATTTTTATTTTTAAAATTTTTAGTCCATTTATTGAAACTAAAAAAATAAGCGGTTTACCCGTGGGTGATTTTTTTGTTTGTTTGTTTAACTGTTTTGTTTTTTTCTTACTTCCAAGTTATTATTTTTAAGGGGAACATAATCTTTCTTACTTGTTGCTGATGCTTTGGGTTGATAGAGAAGCAGGAACATGTCTGACGTAGGAGTGCTGGACTTCAAAGGTGGTAATTGAAGTTCCTGGAAAAACTATAACATTAAAGAAAATCACAAGTGAAAAATACACATGAAAATTTAAATGTTTTATTTTGAAATAATTGGAGACTTAAGGAAAAGTTGGAGTCACAGTTCCGCTGGACGCTTTACCCAGTTCCCACTAACTTTATTGCCTTACATAATCATAGTACACTGATGGAACACTGAAGTTAATATTGATATAATATCGTTAATTGATGGAGGAATGTTGGGGTTCGGAGCCAGTGGCCAAGAAAGAATTCCTGAGATGTCTTCAGTGCAAAAAGGTGGTTTAATTAAAGCACGGGGACAGGACCCACAGGCAGAAGGAGCTGCACTGGGGTTGTGAAGAGCAACTGATTATATACTTTCAAGTTGGGAGGGGGCTGGTAAGTCTCTAAGGAATTTTGGAAGCAAGGTTTCCAGGAACCTGAGGGGGCTAGCTATTGTTAGAAAAAGGTCATTTATTACTAGTAAAACCCTAGCCATGAGACCCTGTAGATGTATATCAGTGGGCCATATGCTTGGAGGATGATTGCTAACATGTATCTTGGGGGTAGAGATAAAGGAAGTTTCCAAATGAATTTTTATATGTTAAAGGATCTGGGAGGTTGGGATAATGTTAAGCTGAGATTGTCTTTTGCCCTTAGCAAAGTATTAACATTGAGGCAGCTGAGTTTCTACAGGAATGTCACTCTGCCTGTTTCAAGGACTTGTCAGGGGACTGTAAATAGTGAGGAAATTTAACTTTTCTTTTGCCTTTGTTTCCCACATCATTAACTACACTACAAACCTTATTTAAATTTCACTAGTTTTTTTTTTTTTTCTTCTGATGTCGTTTTTTCTATTTCAGGGTAATCCACATTGCATTTAATTGTTATTTCTCTTCTCTAATCTGTGACAGCTCTTCAGCCTTTCCTTGTCTTTCATGACCTTAACGATTTTCAAGAGTACTGGTGTGCTGTTTTGTTGACGATTCCTCAGTTTGGGCTCTCTGATTACACTGAGGTTATGTGTTTTGACAGGAATAGCAAATAGCACAAAAGTGATGTGCCTTTCTCAGTGCATCGTAGAGAAGTACATGAGACTGATCTGTCTTATTACAGGTGGTGTTAACCTCGATCCCTTGGTTAAGATGAAGTCGGCCAAATTTCTCCACCCTACGTGGAGTATTACTAACCTTTCCCCCCTCATCTGCTCTCTTGCTTGTTCATAACAGATGGCTGTCTATCTGCTTCACAAAGAAGCCATCGGATGGCATTGACCTTGCTTCTCCACCCCCCTCTTCCTACGTATGTAGCAGAGCTGCCCTTCTTTGTGCTGAGGCCAGTGCCTCCCCTGGGCCAGGACTGCCTCTATAATTTGTGGGGCCCAGTGCCAAATGAAAACGAGGGGCCCCTTGTTAAAAAATTATAATAAAGAATTTCAGGATGGTCACAGCAGATCATGAAGCCAAGGTTGAGCCCTTCTACAAGCAAGGCCCTGTGAGCCTGTATCTGGTGGACCCAGACCACCCTGGGCTGTGGCGCCCTCCCCGGCCTCTCCTCTACTTTCCTGGCAGCCTCCATTAAGCCCTTTGTCCTCTTGTCCAGTCAGTCTGTCTCTCTCACTCATCCATCTAATTCCTGTGGCTTTTAAATATTCCCGAGCATTTCCAGTTGAGAAACGCCTCCATTTCCTTTCTGCTTGCTGCCTGTTCAGTGTACTGTAATCTGCAGAGGCTCCTGCCAAGGCCCCCTGAGCTCCATGTTGCCTGATTCTGTGCCTGGTGGGCACTGATCTGGCCACTCAGCAGCTCCTACCACTGTTGGCGTTTGCATGGTCTTGAATCTTGTTTTCTGGGACACCGTTCTCTCCCAGGTTTCTTCTTGCCTCTGCTTACTCTCTCTAGTTTGGTGTGATTGCTGTTTTGTAGTTCTGATTTATTATTCTGCTTTAACTCTATTTGGAGAAAAATTTTAGTCAAGTTTTTGTTTTCATTCTAAATCAGTGCCTCCTCTTTATAACATAAAGATATACAAGCATGATTTTTTTTTAACATCTCATGAGGCATGCTAGCTTATTAGAGTAAGAAAGTCTTTTTTTTTTTTTTTTTTTTACTGTTTTATTTTTAAGTAATCTCTACACATGTGGGGCTTGTACACATGTGGGGCTTGAACTCACAACCCCGAGATCAAGAGTCGCATGCTCCACTGACTGAGCCAGCCAGGCGCCCCAAGAAAGTCTTTTATTTTAGTTATTTCTGAGTCTTTCTTTTAGGAACGTTCTCTTCAAATGCATGTATTATGCTTTATCAATTTCATTTGTTTTACTAGTTAACTGGCCCCAGAGTCTCAGACCCTGAGACAGCGTGCAGATCTGTGTCCTCTTTCTCTCCAGTAGGTGGCGACAAGTAGACATGCAGGGCCCTGGTGATGGTGGGGGCCAGCCTCTTTGCCTGTGGTCCGTCTCTGCCTTTCCATTCTCGGAAGACTGGGTGTTGTACGCAACTAATGAATCGTTGAACACTACATCAGAAACTAATGATGTACTATATGCTGGCTAACTGAACATAATAAAAAAAAAAAAGAAGGGGGTTCCTCTTTGGGCAAATAGCTAATTTGCTTGTGTTTGTGTTGGTAGGAAGACTGCAGCCAAATTGTTTTCACCGATAGATAAGCTCCTCCTTAAGGCCCTTCGGCGCCTTCCAGATGCTTTTAGATTACTATCTAAGTTCCCTCCTGTCACTTAGCATGCCTGAGTGCCCAGGCTTCTGTGGCTCCGTCCACCCTGCTCCGCAGCCATCTGCCCCTTGGTCCCTACACTTTACCTGCTCTGAGAACAGACTGAGCTCTTTCCTA